TAGATGATCAAAATTACTCACCAATCCTTAGCTGACGAATGATTCCAACTGGAGAGCAAAACAAGCTTTAGCATCCCCTGCGACTCTGAAAGTTTGAGATGAACTTGACACTAGTATTATCATAGGCAATGCGTGCGGCCCGATGAATAGAGCGTCATCGACCTTGCCGTAATCCTCACTTGAGCACAATAAAATTACGGCTATAGATAGATGTAGTTGTAAGTGCTTCTAATGGTAGGGTGCAGAAATAGCAATCGCTCAGAGGTGAAGATGGAAGTTTGGAAAAAGAAATGACCCACAAAACTCGGCAAACGGACTCTTGGGTTGTTCCCCGATGATCGGCTAGTTGAAACGAGTTCAATTAATGCTACTCAACGAGGGTGAAGTTACACTGATAGACGGCAGATTTCAGGGAGGAGAGTAGGCCAATTTATGATGTGGAAAAAGCCAGCTCTAGACCTTATTTGGCACGCATTATGGAGAAACAATATTTGACGGTAAGGAAATCGTCTACGTTATCTTTCGTCGTATTCATAGCTGTCTGTTTCACCCTCAGAAATTAAATTGGTACTATTGCTTCACTCAGTTATCGAACAGAGAGCAAAAATGACTGGAATATAGTAGTTCTTGTGCTATAAAGTAAACGAGGTTTTTATAACAGCATATATATGAGAAATCTGGTTACTGTATTCAGATCGTTCCCGTGATTGCGAAACTGTCTACTAGGCATAACAATACCTACTAACCCGTAGTCAAAGGTATTAAGTAAGACAAACGGGCGGCAGCCCAATATGACACACTTGCTCCATTTTAGATACTACATATTTAACAAATGAGAATTATAATAAAAAACATACACTGCGTTTGATTTCGCCATTTCCATTTTTCATGGCGACAAAACGAAAAGAGGTTCCTGATTCACTGAACTTAGTCGCCCATTTTTAACTGAAACCCGGTTGTAAATAGAACTAAGTGCGTAAAATCGACCAGATTTTGCTATTTTGGACGTAGAATGAAACGAGTAAGGTCATGAGGTTTAAGATGATGATTAGAGAATGTGAAAAGAAAAGACCAATTTTATATCACAATCTGCCTTCATTGGAAGCTCAAATGATATGCATCGGGATTACGTCCTACGGACTTGCTCGTTCTGTTTACTCGTTTAAATAACTGCATTCAGTCGAAATCAAATAAAATGATAGTTCGGATTCCCAAATGAGCAAAGGGACAAAGAATGTAGCGTGAAATAGATAGAAGAAGACTTTCATAGAAGGAGAAGGCGGAAGAAGGGGGGTGGTAGCGGAGAGAGGAAATCCTAGTGAGAGGCCATGATATAGAAATTTTTTTCATTATAGGGGTCACGGCAGTATAAGAGGATCAGTCCTCGCCCTCGTAGTAGCCAATTTCAAAGGTTGTGCATCACTAATTCAAGTAGGTTTTACGAACGGTTTTGAAACGAATCCCAATCACCAAGCCAATTAGCGCTAGCGCGGGTGTGCAAAATAGAAGACTCTTCTCCCCACGCGAATGTCAATATCGTGCATTACTGTGATGGCTAGTTGTGTTCTTATAATATGAGATTGGTGATCTGCCACGGCGCAAATCAGCCTACATCACCAAGCAAGGAGTAAATTACCAAAAGCCGGTTGAAGAAACGACAAACTCTTCTCAACACTTCAGGCTTCTTCACTAGAGTTTCCATCAAGACTGTCGAAAAAAACCCTCAAATTGACACCCCTTGTCCTACTAAAATCCTCTGAACTTCCAAAAATACGACCCCCTTTCCTACCTTCTAACTCATAACACTCAAATACGACGAACTCTAGAACAAGGAAAAAGTCAATGCGACACCCATTCCTCTTGAAACTGACGCACGAAAGGTGACCAAATTACTACACTACAATATATTTGTGAAAAAAACGCGCGAACAAACTCAAACTAAGACTGACCCTGACTAACTTAACTAGAAATCATGGTCTTGTGATAGCACATTAAGGACATAACAGGATAAATGACATTGCCGTTGATCAATCCCTTTATGGGATGCGGCACGCATTCTACTTCCATTTGTACATTCGCAGTGGCATTTGAATGCGATGTGGCCTATACAATGACTTGCGGGGGCCAGCCGATGTTCAAGTCAGTGTTTTTTTTATCCTCCCAGACAAGTCTGGTACCAATTAACCGACCCCGGAGGGATGGAAGGCTTGGTTGGCCCGGGCGACTCACGACCCAGGATTTGATCCCGGACCGCTTCGCGTGGTGAGCGCGCCACTTGTCACTATACCACTTCCGCCCTGTGATAGCTCCGTAATACAAATCCAAGATACCCGCCCTTTTGCACTTCCATAGAAAGTAAAACCCGAGCTAAGGCAATGCTCAGTTTTGGGGATTGATAAGTCTATTTCATAGGGAAAGACTTCTTGGAGCATCAGCAATTTTTAATTTTACACAGAAGATTTCTTTGTCAAGTTCTTGCCTGACATATTAGAGTAATTGTACCCAGACATCACTGCTGGGGCTACGCGGCCCTTCAACTACGCGACAATGATTCAAGAATAAATGACAGGTCGTTTGATGGGGGCAATTCTCATGGAATTTCCCATATAGGATTTTCAAATATTTTAAGCGAAGTGGAGTTAATCTTATTATGATTTTTGATGATGTAACTGGATACCTCGGGCATATGTCCTGTCTAATCCAACGAATATGTCGTTATGCATTGTAGTCGACCAAGTGAACGAGCGGACGTCCAGCTGTGTCATATCTCAATTAAGTGGTTTAGACATAAACGCTATAGAGTTCCGTACTTCCCAAGTTCGATCGGTTAGAACGCGCTTCTATATGAGTCGGAAAAAGGGACATGAAACTGAAGAGTATAAAGTAAGAGGAGACAGTAAAGTAAGAAGATAATTTGAATTTTTGTCGAGTTCTGAGAACGAATGTGATTTGTAAGTGATTTTTTGTATTCGAAAATGCTGTAGTCGTGGGTGAGGTATGGACGACATATTGCATGAGAACAAGTTTTGCAGTCAGAATTCTCTGTTACACATGCTCAGCGCACATCAAGGCTCGGCTCGATGATATCGCCGGTACCTGACCGATAGCATACTACGTTCCCGTCGACTCTACGACCCCACCACGGTAACAAATTCAACAGAAGTGGCGCATATTTTGTGCGGAAGTTCTACCATTTCGTCAAAATCGTCCGAAGGAAGTCAGTAAAACGGATGGGACGGATCATTAAGCCAAACAAGTTTCACTAAACACCACATGGAATGTTTCGAATAGCAATTGTATTAACTCACCTTAAAGATGGAGTGTTTACGATTTGAAGGCAGTCAAATCTAATTTACAGTTAGTAAGACAGAAACTAAGGTGGAATGATTTATATCAAGAGACAGGCACTTATATACCACTCTTATCACTATATGCATTATCTCTTTGATCCTTTTTCATTCATTTACTCTTCACAACGTTCGATACCCCCGCAACCCCGTAGTGTACCTTACGGTCACTCACCATAGAGGAGGTCCACCGTGTTGATTTCTTTGATATAACAACGAACACTATGAAATCATAAATTTATTTTCAATTTCTAATGCTGATCGACCCAAGTTACGAGCTTGTCAAGAAGATACACTAATGAAATGGAGAATGATTAAATATTCGAAGATAAGCGCCCTTATATACCTACTCTCTACAACGATCATGCTATAATCCTCTTTGACCCTTAGTATAATTCCTTAAGCTCTCGTACGTTCGCTAACACACTCACAAATGAATCGATGGTAGAGGCGGTCAGTAGGTTTAGGCAATGGAAAGAAAAAACTATAAAAATACCCGGAAAGGAATCCATCTTGCCGGTGATGCGATATCCTTACAGTAATGCCTCTTACAACGCTATGTTACCTTGTGCTAAACGACTAGGATGCCTGAGGGAAGTGATTAGCCGTCGGTGAGGCGCGCCGGAGCGAGCACCGCTGCGGAGGCACCCATCTACACTGCGACGCATAATTATAGTTCCACCTACAAATTTCCCAAAAACTTGAATCTGGGGATGTTTTTGGAAAAGGCTCTACAGATAAATTGTGACACATATAAACGCGAATCTGAATATTAACACGGAAATCCAGTTTGAGAAAGCAACAATTTTTTATCCTTATTTTTTGTCGAAAAAATTATCGCTTTAGCTTCTCGCCGCATTTAGTTTTCAAACCAATTTGGAATTTATATGGCTGATTTAGCTTATAGCAAAGGCAAAACCGCTGTCACACTTCCGTAAAAGGGAAATCCTAGCAAAAGAGACGCAGGAATTGTCAAAGTGTCAGCTCCGCTGGAATTTGTCGGGGTGACTTCATAACGAACAAATTTCTCAAGGATGCTACAGGATATGACTGGGAGGAACCCTGATTACTATCCGACTGAGATAAGCGCCGTATCGTGAGAAAATGATATCCAGCCGGGTACTGAAATTGTAGGTGGAACTATAATTATGCGTCGCAGTGTAGGTTGCGAGGGAGGCGTACTCTAACCAGGGAATTGAGTGTCAGCCCGCACCTTTGGGGGATCTGCTGTCATTCCACTGGGTGAGTTTTTCTTGCTTCACCTTCCATGTTGCCGTGGAATCCTTCTTCAAATACGAAAGCACAGAGCGCATTGATTATGCAAGAAGCCCAGTAGATCGCTGAACCGGGATTCCTCACTTCTACCATAACTAAGAAGGAAAGGGAGTCAAAAATTCATGAAGCTTTTCTGAAATGAGCCATGACTCAACCCAATCCACAATTGTAGCGACCACGTATGAATGAAGCTAGACATTACAGAGGAAATTTTTCTGCAGTGCAGCGTGGCGCCTCTAGCCAAGGAACTTCTCACTATCACCTCATTTATGTATGTGGTTACCCCCTTTGTGTATTGGTTTTTGATCTCTGACATGGGAGAGGAGCCAAGCCAACGCTAGAGATCATGTGAATAAACTAGCAAGCCATTTAACACCTGAAGTTTTGTTGATGTTTCTCTTCGAGCAGCCTTTTTTCGTGATCGAGATCGACTGGTTTTAGAGACGCTCCTGGTCGTCCAGTAAGCGGCTTCTTCCCACGAAGAACCTTGATGACGGTTTATTGCAAACATTTTCATGAAGCATAAAGCGTGGTTTGAAATGGAAATGTATAACATCAACTTGAAGTACCTTCTCTTGAAGGGTCTTGGGGAATCCGTAAGTGGGTTGTCCTAGTTTTCCCTGTAAATATTGGCACATTAGCAAAAACCAAATGATGCTTTTCGGGACATTGGGCTCTTGTGAGATCATAGTGGCCGCATGAAAGAGCACTGAGGGCAGGTCGATCTATGGGCTATGATAAGGAGGGGGGGGGGGGGCGGCAAACTTCAGAAATTGCTATCAGAGAAATTGCCATTTCGCTTCTTCAATTATTGTTTTAGCCGTAGCCCGCGATCCGATGATTATTACAAAAACTATTAATTGATGAAAATAAAACTTCGACTCAGCCAGTGCCGAACCTAGTGAGGCTAAGTTCCCTAGCAATTTAGCACCCTTTTGATAACTTTAGGTTAATTTGCACTTTAATCTTTACGTCATCATTTCATCACTCACATGTTGTGCGTGGAAGGGTCGAAATACGTGAATGAGAGCTTACCTCGAAGAAGTCCTGCACGCTTTTCGGCAGTGGATGCTTCTCAGCGTCCTTTTCCAATTCCTCACTTGAAGTGATACCGTGCTGAGTCATAAACTGCGCCAGATCGCCAACGACTTTCGACGAAGGAGCCACCTAGGAAAACAAGGGCCCGCTTACTCTCTGAAACTTCATGTACTTCGAGCTCTTTGTTTACTATTCATGGCGAGTACGCAACCCAATCGCTTTCATGGCAACGTGAAGTTGTGTCTTTTTAGATGCTTTTGCACCCGTCTTGAAATTGCTAATCTCTCTGCTCTTCATCATATGTCCACAATAGTTTTTTTTCCCCTTGAATATCGGCTTACCTTGATTATGTCTCCCAGAGCCTTATTCGCTTCTCCATAGTTTTTGCAGACCAATGGGAATTTATCGAGCAGATTCAGAGAGAACGACTGAAAGCAATCAAGTATGAGGCAACTGTCGTACACCATACTTTCACTTGAGTAAAAGGACGAATAACGGAAACGGTTTGCTTCACCTGGAAGATAAGATTGCTGCTAGTACTGTCCACCAGGCATGCTGTGTTCAAACACGTCCGATGTTCCACTTTTCAATAAATCGGTGCTTTCAAAATTTGCATACAGTCGACGAGTTTCTTCCCAATAATGGCTGTATTGTGATACCGCTTTCAGATTGAGATCTGTAAGAATAAATCATCAAAGGCAACAACCCATTCAGAGTCGTGTGAACGCTTCCCTTCGGTCTGTAGTACGGACCCCTAGAGAACAATCACAAATGTGGCGTTCCCGTGCACGGAAACCAACCGACAAGAGCGCTTTGGGCCTTGCAAAGTAAGCTGCTGGAAGCTGCAGATTTTTTTTCCCTTATCAAGGCTGTTGTCTGGCCCTCCTCATCTGTAGCGCTCTCTCGCCTCATACTCTCCTCTCGCGCTTAGTCTCTCATTCCCTTAGCACAGAGCATTAGGAAGGTGAGTGAGCCCTGAACCTGAGCGTTTTCGACGGATTCTTTTCCTTTTATTCTTCACTGCCGGCCCATTTCGCACCAATGCATTCGCATGGGCAAAGAGACACACCAATGGGATCGATTCCTGGGGCATGCCTTCAAGGATTTTTGAGTATTCAACGGTGGAAGTGCTTCTTAACAGGTGGAAGCTGCGAGCTGGCCGACTTGGTCGCCACGAAAAATAGCCTTCTTGCTCAACAATTCAATTATTAGACTCTCAGTCTGGTCAGACTGATTAAGAGCAAAGGCATTTTGAACTCGGCATTTCAGAGCTGCAGTCATTGCCAGCAGCATCAAAGGAAGCCTGAGAAGAAATGGACCAGGAGTTTACTCGTGTACAAGTGTGCAAGGCCTTAGAAGTTCAGGGCCTCTTTTTGTGCCGGTTGGGAATATTTTGAAATCTGGTTGTCGCATATTGCTGTGTATGATGTTGGTATGAAGTATGTTCAGTTTCTATGGTCATTCTGTACCCAGAAGTTTGAAAGACTTCGCCATAAATAGGCGAAAAGAAAGAAATTTTGAGACACCCTCTAATTTGGAGTCTATTATTCGACGAGATTAGAACATGCACATCCCAGCTTTCCACGTACGCCATTCAAAATCTGGCGCTTCTCCTTCCTCTCCCGAACTGGCTGTAATCCCCCTACTCACGGATTCCTCATTTGTGCAGTGTTTAGTCCGCTAGGCAGGGGCAGAAGCGGCGCCAAGCGATCTTCTTGTGAAGTCTCCATCCAACTCAGCGGCGTTTTATCCTGTTTTTGCTGCTTTTCAATTTACAGTCCCGAAAAACGCCTTTTGTGGGCAAGTTGACGTGCTAGCGGTTCAGGCAAATCGCGCCCGCCAAATCGTTCTACCCACGTTGCGAAAAAGCCAAAACCTGCTTGCTCATCGCTTATGTGCTAATCTGAAGCCTCCGTGCAATTCACGTTGTAGCAGCGCAATCGAACTAGTCGTTCTTTTGAACAAACTATTGTCATTGTCTCTTTGTTGGTGTTTTATTCATGCCCCTGAGCAATAGGTCAAAGGTGATAACCCCAGAAAAGCATTTAATTCTCTGCACTTATTTTGTTCTGTAAAAGAACCACCCAGAACTACCCAAAACCGAGTGACACATGTGCATTCATAAGCAGTCTCCTTTTTGAAGCGCGCGATGAGCAGGTGCTCTATGTGGGCTACCTCTGTAAATTGTTCATAGAATGAAAGAATGAACCTGTAGCTTTTGGAGTGTTCATCAGACTTCGCACAATGGCGCCCATGCTCGGCTGACTGGTCACTCCGCTCATGCTGTCGATCGCCGCGTCAACACCGTCGGCGCCTGCCTTCAAAGCAAACCGAATCACTTTTTTTATCATTTCTATATTCATAAGATTTGTGTTTTTTTTTTCAAATTCGATAATTCATGTTTTATATCCAGTACAGAAGGAACCAATTTGTACTGGTGTCTACCTCTATTGCTGCAAGCATGGAAGCAACACCAGTTCCAGCCATGTCATGGGTGTGCACCTGTATTGGGAGATCTGGATGCCTGAAACAACTGCTTTGCTTTCCGAAAGGAGCTGATGTAAACAAAACGCAGGAAACACCCAGGATATTCTTCACTAACTTGTCTCGTATGCTTCCGACTAAAAGGCGAGCTGCTAACGGATGTAGAACTCCAGCCATGTCTTTGATTGCTGAATACTAACAATCTTTACTGCCAGTAGGAATAAAAATATCTGAGGGCACGAACTGGTCATTTTGTGCCACGATAAGAACTGAGCTTCTATTCAGAACCGTAGTAGTAGCATTTGGGTGCGCAAGTGGCACGTACAATCTATTCTAAAGGAATCGTGTACGGATTCTGCATGATTCTTTCTCGCCATTCATCAATGGCTCGAGAGCTATATCTTACGATATGTATGGAATTAAGGAAAATTGCCCTAGTTTTGCGGAACGATTCAGGATTTACTATTAAGTGCCCACCTCACAACTTTAACAAATGTTGTTGGCGGGACGCTGCCACTCGCCTCTTGTAGTGCATTCACTAGAAAATCTTTTCGGCCTTCACTTATGGCAAAAATATTTCACTCATCTATCGCATCCTGATCTACCGTTTTCAAACGTTTGGTTTCTACTTTCCGAATTTGGAAGGTTGATTTTATATTCCACTCGCTCTTACCAGGAAAGGCATTCAACTTCCCATGGAACTTTGAATTGAGACCCAGATATATCGAGCTTCAAACGCTGATTACAAATATGGAAACTAAAACTGCAAAATGAACCTGCCAAGGAAGTTGTGAGCAGTCAAAGTTGGCTGGAAGTAAAGCATTACACTAGCCTCCGGCTTTCAAAGTCGCCGTGGAGTAGTGGTAGTGCTCTCGAAATTTGCACTCCAACGGGAGGAGAACTTACCTCCGGGTGAAGAGCGAGGGCACTACCACTACTCCACGGCGACTTTGAAAGCCCGGAGAGTAGCGCGATTTTTATGTAGCGCTTCACTTTCAGCCAACTTTGACTGCTCACAATTTCGCAATGGGAGGTCCATTTTGCAGTTT